CTTACGTGACTGGCGTAGTCCAGCTCCAACACTTCCTCCTGCTGACGTTCATACCTGTGTCCGATCTGCGAGAGGTTCTCCTTGACGGCCTCTCCAGCGAACGCCAAGATGGCCTCAGGGTCGAAGTTCTGTGATGGCTCAAGGATGCCGGCCCCCACCAGCATATGTAGTGCAGCGAGCAGCCAGTCCTCTTCCGGTCCGTAGGTTGGTGTCCGGTAGAGCAGATTGGATACTTTGGAAGCGAGCTTCGTGACCGGGAGGTTATGGGAACTCAGCAATATCCGGAGGCAGAGTCGAAATGGTTGGTTATGAATGTCCGAACTGATGTCTGTGGTTGTCGCTGTTGTCTGGAGATTTTCTGCGGCAGTCTCTGTCTCTGGTGATGACGAGTTCGACTGTTCGGTTGAATCTGATTTTGCCTTGACAGGGACAGGATATACCTGCTGGCGGAGTTGGTGGTTGTGCATGTCATAGAGAACCGTTTCAAGCGGCGGGGTGGCATTACTGCTCGTCTTCGACAAGAGCCGGGAAGTTGAGAAGAATGATTTGGTTTTCGGCCTTTTTGTTGACGGCTGCTGTGCACCATACCCTTGCTGCTGCTGCTGAGCTTCGGTTGCTGGCGTGAGCAATATTGCCCAATGGATGGCGTTAAATCCTTGCTCGTCTGGCCGCGAGGGTGAGAAACCTAGTACTGTGATCTGCGACATTTCTGGTCCTCTTGGTGATGTCTTGAAAAATAGGTACAATCTCCTCCTCTGTACTCAATCTCAAGGTGGTGAGTATTCTTTGAATGTTCCGAGACCGAGATGTCTTATCACTTAAGAACCTCTTCTGAAGCGGCTTGCTTGTTCGTAACAGCGCGCCTTGGATAGTTCTGTCTTCCCAGGCCGTGTGTGATGTAATGCTTCGTTTATTAATTCGTCGCTCTGGGCTTTCCTTCCCGTCTGGATTTGTTGATTTGTGTACTCAACTCATGTAGCGGCTGACTTTTTTTTTTTTGGAAACCTGTGCGCCTGACTCAAGTAATAGCCAATGCTGTTCCAAATGATCTACAAGGACCAAAGAGTGACAAAGGCCTAACTGCAACCTATTTGGGGTCAACTAGTAATCAACTGTGATGGGATTTCAACTGATTCGTTCAGAAGGGGTCAAAAAGGACAGTGATTCGCACACAATAGCCGCCAAATTCCGGATGTCGATGGTATGAGAGGCAATCTGAGATGTCCTTGTGTGGGAAGGGCACCAGAAGAAACCAGTCTTGATATACTTGTACTTGTAGGGTTCTATGGTGGACGACTTGCATTTTGGCCGGTTTTCTTCCGGATCCCCAGTTTCATGCGCATCGAGACCAGTGAAGAAAAAAAGGGAAGATATGGAGATGATGACGCCTGCAACAGCCATCAAATCACGCATGCTCGTTTTCCCTTTGCAGTCTCCAGCTGCTGGAGTTTCTTCCAGAATCGAGAGCATTTTCGAATCCATGTGTTAATCGTTGCGGCAATTTGTCCGGGGATGATCCTTTTGGCGTTCATGCTACGCGTCGTGGTTGGTTGGAGCCCCTTGCATCTTCCTGTGGCCCTCCGGCATCTTCCATCCAATGACTTGGGAGTGAGGTCAGGGCCGCAAGTACAAGCTCAAGGATGACTTGTATGACATGTGCCCGAGACTTCCCCGAGGCCCAGAAAGAGGCTGGCGAGGTTCGTCGGCAAACAGACCGCGTCCCTAGAGAGTGGAAGATGGCGATCCAGATGTCATGCGAGCCCCTGAAGAAGGAAAAAAGCATAGCCTAATAGAGAGTAGACGTTCTATTGGAATCTACAAGTAGGTACAAGCAAACAACAGCGACGAACATCAACTCGCATGGTCATCTAGCCTTGGCCTTGGCGTCACGTGACTCGATCCGCCGTCCACTGACTTCACCTGCGAATGACTCTGAGGTAGTTTTCTCTCTCACTGTGTAAGATTTTCAGTCAAATGGTGGATCTGGAGGTCATTCCCTCGATGTGAGGAGGAAGCCTAGACTATTCTCACATTAGACAGACTTTGCCGTAAAGCATCCTCGTTAGGTAATTAGAGGTCGTCTTTGACATTATTCTCGACATGGAAGACAAGTGCATTCTACTACCCCTAGTGCCCATCAGGTATGTACCTGAACGCCGTCACGCCTTAAACATTGGATAGTCTCCTTCGCTGCTACAAAAACGCGGGAGAAGTAGCGGGTTGGTACAAAACCTCAACTCTGTCGCGGGAAGATCCACATTGAGGTGTAGCAAGTCACTGGGATCCCTCAGATCACCAGTGCCTGTTTTCACAAAGCAGAGCTGAGATGGAAGGGTGTCATTTGGAATATAGTTGGATCTTGTCATATCGGAGTGTCAGTTGTTGTACAACGAGGGTGGTAATCGGAGTGTTATTACACGAGAATGTGGGCTTCTTCGAACATTCATCTGCACAGCTGACAGTGTGAAACCTCCATATCGCCTTATGTTACTGCCCAGCCGTGACTTGTAGTAGCAGCACCATCAGAGAACCCAACCGCAGGAGCTCGAGAGCAATCGCTCATTGCCATACATTGAACCCTTTCCTGTAAGTGTCCCAGAGCGAGTAGCTTGAGAGGTCCACAACATTTCTGTTCACTTCGTCGAGGAATAGTTTCCTTCTCGTTTCCTGTTGAAAGCACGCTGGTCTTTCAGCCACCGTCGGTACCCAGCCACACTTCCCACTTTCTCGCCATAGAAGTCAGGCACGGGGTTGTTGGTGCTCGCACCTGTGGGGTTGACCCTGTGCTTTTTAACCCTTTCAAAAAATTCTCGCTCTTTTTTGTTGAACTCTGGCAACCGACTTCGATGCAATAGTCTCCATAGCGTGTTTCCAAAGGCTGGGCCGATCAGCCAGCCAAAGAAAGTGGCCCCAAAAGTGGCTATCCCAATACCAATGACAGGATCGGTAGGAATGATTTTGGTGATGTTGTCAGCAAATGCTGGGATCTCGGAAAATGCTATCAATGCTCCGGCTGTAGAAGCGAAGGACGTAATGATCGAGGAAGTGACTGCGTAGCGACGTCGTATGGTTCGAAGGCGGAAGAAGGTATTCCAATCGAGAGCAGGGGGAGGAGAGGAGGATGACGACGGAGGGGTAGAGGTTGTCGGGGCAGAGGCATTCGAGGTTGTCGATGCGTTTCTCGTCCGACACAGGGAGGGGGTGAAAAATGAGGAAGGGGTCGTGGTTGAGGACGGCGGACTTGCAGTTAGAGGTGTGAATTTCGATGCTGAGATTCCACGATGGCTTTGCGCAACCAGAGCTACCGAAGACAAATCGCGTCGTGATGTCGGCAACACCTTCTTCGTCGGGGCGACGACATTACGAGCCTGGATCAGCTGTAGACCCAACCTCGCAGGCCTGGTAGACATTCTGAGTCGGGAACCAGCTGGTTTGCTGAGGGCAGAGCAGTTGAACAGATGTTCTTTGGACCCAACAGACGATGGCCAAAGTGTCTCAGGTGAGGTTTATCAGATCAAATCCTGCTAAGAGACTGAAGCCACGGCCCGTATGCCAGATGCGACCAATGACAAGTGCCAGCCAGTTACACTAGAGCAATGGAGGATGAAGTTACAAAAAGTATGCAGCCACCTTTCGCGATGATTCCCTAATGTTGTAGCTGATCTGAGACGGGAACACAGCTTTGCTGATGGTGGTAGTGGTTGTCAAAATCCTTCAGAAGAACACGTGCAGAATGGGCCACAACCCCCCAAAAGTCCTTCGCTAAAGTGCCCTAAACTTTGCAGGCCCGGGCGCTACGTACGGGCGCTCCTCTCTTGATGCCTCTGGTGCCTCTAGCTGAGTTACTAAAGTGATGGCATCGTCTTGTCTGCTCATCGGTGCACGTCCAGTCCAAGCAAGACTCGTGCCCGGGCTCGCATCGGGAGTGTGCCCAGGGCATGCCGGTGTGCCACCCACTGCCTGCCCGGGTTTCAGTGTACTTGTGCCGAGTACCTCGTACACACCGCCCATACGAGGTACTCGAGTCCTCAGTTCAGCTCGGGTAATGGACCCCTCGTCGAAGTCTTCGAGGGTCCCTTCTGGATGCTGTCCTTATGGCGCAAGTGGTTTAGCCCCCTCCAACTTCTTCGGAAGCTCACGCCCGGCTCACCTCGTCCACTTTTTGTGCCATTGCGCTATCCACCCCAGGCCAAAAAAGCCGTGGTTCGCGTCCTTGTCTGGCCTATCCGTGCCTTGACTCGCCCAATGCCCTCACCTGGGCCGCCTAAGGAAGGCTCAATTATGCATCCTCTTTTGGTTAACCTTCCAGAAACCAATAAACCTATCAGTGTTAATTCCATCCCCTTTCTTATCCAGAGTACGCTTGATCTAGAAGCTGTATGGCCATGGCACACCCTCTGTCCGTATTCTCCCCGCCCATGCCGCTTTCGCACCTGAGACCAGTGCCAACATCTCGCCAGTCTTAAATCTGTCCCGCGTCCGTGGTCCTCGAGTTTAACTAATCCTCTCGATCCTTTCCACAATATCAACCTGTTTCTGCTTCGGAGATGACTGTGAGATGATCACTTCGTTCCGCGCCGAGTCTCATACCCCCTCCGCACAGATGCTGATGTCGCTGTCCTACGATCATCGCCGGTGACAAGTCTCTGCCAACGCCATGCCGCGCCCAAAGAAACCCGAGCAGGACGGGAAAGAGGTTAAAAAGCGCTCCAGGAATGGCTGCTGGTTGGTCCATACTCCCTCAACCTGGCGAGCTCCATAACTTATATTTCCCTTCCGCAGGCCTTGCAAGTCGAGGAAGGTCAAATGGTCCGTCCTTTCCGTCCCGCATGTGAAATGGTCGATGAATGCTGACAGTGCGTCGTTTCAGCGGAGAGGAGAAGCCGACCTGCGCCAACTGTCAGCGACAAGGCGAAACCTGCGATTACAGTATTCGATTAAACTGGGATGGCCGGAACAAGAAGAAAGAGGAAGGAAATGCAAAGCCTGGTGCGCAGATTATGTCGTTCAATACTCCCCAGCCGCCCTCGAACGGATACACCAACGGCGGCCTCGACCAGAGTCCCAGCATCAACGACCAGATCCTAGCCCCTCCAGTCACCATCCAGGCTCCTGATTATTCAGTCGACCAAGCTACCGCAGAGTCCGGGTTGCCTTCGATCAATCGCTTCTCAAATAATCTTTCTGTCCCAGCGACGGGTGAATTCAACCCTGCCATCCTGCCACCTCCGCCGATGCTGAGAACTCCCCAGTGGGGGGACAGCGCCAATGTGAATGCCTCCTCTGTTCCCGACCCTGCTCTAATCCCGCCCTCAGTACGACATGCGATGTCTCTGCCACCGTATCCCTCACCTTCAGAATCTGGGTTTGGCAGCCCGAACCTCGGCAATGGCATGAACAACTTCAATGGTTATTCCATGCAAATGCCCCCACCTATGCACACATCTAATCCTATGGCCTATCAAGAATCCATCAATTCGCCCTACAATCCCAACAAGAGGATGAAGTTGAGTCCGAGAACAGATAGTTTCGGGAGGAATGGCCCCAGCTATCAACGAGCAGGATCATATGGTCCGAATGACACAGAAGAGGTCGGTCCGCGCGTTCAATTCAACCCGCACACGCCCACTTTCTTTCCCTCATATATTAGCAATCCCTTGACACCAGCACCTTCGTCCACTTCTCAGACCCAGGACAACGAGGACAGACGAATCTCCGTGAGTTCGCTCCTCTCTGAAGATCCAGAGCCAGATGATCGCAGAGATTCCAGACAAGACGATCACAATGGGATTGCGGACGAACCGATTCCTCGACGGGGCTCTTTACACCAGCGGATGATATCATACTCGGAAACGGAGACCTATGGGCAAGACCGTGGTAATGTGGACCTCGACATTCCGCGGAACAACGATACAATGGCTATATCAGGCATGTCACCATCAGAACACAGCGACTTCGAGTCTTGGTTGAATGACACAGATCTGGGTGTACCCGAGTTTGGGTTTGGGCTGGTCAGCCGAGAGACCGTGTTTGCAAGCGGGGGATATTATGCCTCGCCTGTGCCCATCAAGATCCCTCGAAAGCTGGAGCCATTACCACGCACTCTGTCAGAGAATCCGATGAACCTATTGTACTTCCATCACTTCCTCAATCACACAGCCAGGATCCTTGTTCCGCACGATTGTCCAGAGAACCCGTTCAAGACCATCCTGCCAAAGAGTACGTATCCGAGATTCCTCCTGAATCCGTTGTGATTTGAATCCATCCTCTGACTTAAAATAGTGGCCGTTGATAACCCGAACCTGCTGAATCTGCTACTGGCGTACTCGGCGTGCCACCGGGCCAGGCTTTTGAATCATCCCGAGCCTGCGAACCGCATAGCGCACTGGGTCCGGGACGTCTTCCCTTCCCTACGGCAGACTTTAGACAATGTGTCAAATACCGAGGTATCGAACGCAAATTTGGCGACGGCCATCATGCTTGCCTCGTTGGAAATCATCTCTCCTTCCAGTTTTGGTGTTTCCATACCCTGGCAGAATCATCTCAGCATTGCTCGGAGTATTATTCGCGCTCGCACAGGACCACACTCCATTTCGCGCAAAGATCCTGTCATGTACTTTTTGACGAGGTGGCTAGCGTATCTCGACGTGATGGGTTCACTATCTGGGAGGCGTAACGAGGAGCCTCTTTTTGCAGGCAACTATTGGTCCAGCTCGCATGAGGACAGCACATCGGCCAAAGAGTTATCCTTGACTGATGACGACGGCGACGACGAAGACGACTATACGATAGACTGTCTTCTCGGATTCACCACGCGATGTGTGCAAATCTTGGCTCAGGTGGCTGTTTTAGCGAGAGAATGTGAAACAGCAGGCAGAATCGACCCCGATACAGGGCAAATCAACGAGGACTGGAAGCCTTCCATGGACATACTCAAGAGGGCGGAGAAACTGCGCCAGGATCTTGAAAAGGCTCGCAACCACGAACAAATCCAGTGCGCACATCACAGCCCTCAGATGACCAAAGCATCTCTCTGCGGAACGCACGGCACGCGTCGCAATTCAGCTTACGCCGAAATGTCGGAAAAGGATGTCGAAGAATCCCTGGCGACAAACTCGGCCTTTCACTGGGCTGGGCTGGTCCACCTCTTGCGACGAATCCATAATCTGCCGCGTGACGACCAGGAGGTGCAGACGGCGGTCCATGAAATTGTCAAGATCCTGCAGCAGATCCGAGCTGGTGGAAGTGCTGAAGCATGTTTGCTCTTTCCCATATTCACTGCTGGGGTCGAAGCAGAAGATGCCTTGGATCGCGCAGAAGTGTTGAGTCGGATCAAAGGAGCCGAGGGACTTGGGATGTGTCAAGTCAGCCGGGCTCGGCGGATTATGGAAGAAGTTTGGAGAACTGGATACAGTTGGGAATGCTTGGTAACCGGAGAGTTCTTCGGCTGACCCCAATCCGAATCTTAAAGAGGGTCGGCGAGATAGACCTTAACGGAGAGGAGGACTGAGATGCCGACTCGCTTCATCTTCACCACATTACGTTCACGGAGCACATTTTCTCGAGCGTTGGAGTTGCGGGCGTCGTCTAAATACCCAGCCTGTCGTTACATTTCGTTGATTTCTGGTACATACCAATTTGGGATGGCAAGTCCGATGCCACACTTCAATTCTTCTACATGCTAGACTTTCGCACGGGGTTTTGAGTACAAGTGGAAGTGGCTTCAGCCTTGCCCACGTAAATACAAGTCCGGGTGTGACAAGGCTGCGGGGCTACAAGGCTACGAGGCTGCAGGCTGCAAGGCTGATTTAGCCCCCACGACATTTCGGAAGTCAGACACCCACCAATGCGAGAATGTAATTTACGTCAGCTTCCATCTCACTTCGTTGCTCTTCTACAAGATTCACTTTTACTGTTCTCTGTCAATTTTTTTTTCTTGGTTTATATCCCATCTCTGCCAGTTTTCTTGTGTTATAGATTGAGCGGACGCCTTTTACGCACAGGTCCAGGAAATAATATCGTCAGTGGGCCGTCGTTCTCTTTGAAATCTGTCTGTCTGGTTGTCTGTCCTTGTCTGCTCGATTTTGATTTGACGGCCCAGATCGTGTACGAATTGGTTACTCGTCCATTCCGTCTCCCGGGCAGTCCGAGCTCGCTACAAAAATACCCTTTTCGAAATAAGGCATGGCCTCGGGCTCGCCGTCTCAGACACCTGCAATGGACAGCCTCATCCGGCGCCACCCTCTCCAAAAGCTCCAGTCGCCCTCGCGGGGGGCCTCGGCGTTGCTTCACTCGATCGGGCTGGCCAGTTTCGCCTACAGCTTCAACTGGCTGAGCACGCACCCCAACCACATCAACAGCGCGTACGGCTGGCACTTTCAATACCTCACCATCATCGGCCTGACGCTCGCCACGGGGACGTTCATTCTGGGCCTGCTGGCGGACCTGACCCTGTCCCCGAAATTGTTCGCCGCGAAGAACGTCTTGAGCATGTGTTCGGCCCCGATGGAGGTCTTGGTCAGCACCCTGTACTGGGGGTTGAGGGCGATTGACCCGACGCTGGTGGTGCCCAAAGAGCTGGAGCTGCCGCTCGCCCCGGACGTCGGCTTCCACCTCACGCCGTCGGCGCTGCTGCTCGTCGACCTCCTGCTCTTCAGCCCGCCCTGGACCATCACCGCCCTGCCCGCCATCCTCCTCAGTACCGTCATCGCCTTTCTGTACTGGTTCTGGATCGAGCTGTGCTACTCCTACAACGGCTTCTACCCTTACCCGCTCTTCGGCCTGTTGGACCAGACCCAACGCGTCGGCCTCTTTGGCATGAGCGCCGTCGTCATGGCCGGCAACACGGTGATTCTGAAGCGGGTTTATGGCTTTCTCAACGGGTCTCAGAAGGCGGGCGGCGAGATACCCGGCAGGATGAAGATATAGAGGACCCCGGTGTTTAGAATGCTTGGAGCGAGATAGAGGGACAGGAAGGGTAGATGGAGGAAGAAAAGCGAGCTAGAAGATGGACAGTTGGAGGAGGGAAAAGACACGCGACATTTCTTTCCACTTCCTCCCTCCCTCTCTCTCTCTCTCCCCAGGGATCTGGCTCGATCCGCAATTTTTAATAGTGAGGCCAGCTTCGTTTCATCTAGTAAATTCATATTCAGGGAGAGCGAGAGAGGATATCAACTGCTACCGCTACTCCGTTGATTCCCGTGCGGTTGGGGCTGGGCTGGGGGGATCTAATCAGCGCGTTGGATCACAATCTACAATTTTTATTTCCATTCGTACGTACCTGGCATCTAACCAGGGGCTTAGTTAGACCTTATGTGATTTTATTCGTGTCTGGACATTGCAAGATGATGGTTTCCGCTTCAGCATCGACCACTGACTTCGAGATTCGTGCTAGTAGTATTCTTGGTATTCCCGCTTGAACCGCACTCCGTCTCGCTCGATAGGTCTTTGAAGTACATGTACCCAAGAACAGCATCACAAGCTTTTGGATGGTCCTTCCTTTGTATTGTAATTTTATCAATTTTCATGCCTATTGAGGCAGTCGCATCGATCAGATCTGCGATCGTGATAATGTGGCACAGTCCGACGAGCCATAGGAATGACGAGCCATGCACTATTCACTCAAGGGCAACCCCATTAGGTGAAATAGCATTCCGATCCGTATGAATAGTATTAGCTTTATTCGATCTAGCGACGGCTTCATCGCTACCTATTGACTACATAAAAGATTGGAGAGCGCGTCTAATGGTTGTCAAACCATGCCACCCCACCCCTCCCCTTCGGAACTACCCGTATCAAAATCCCCACGGAAACAAATGCCTTTGTGATCGTTAAAGAGGAATAATGAAAAGACAAAGACCACTTACCAGGACGCACACCTGAAGCAACCGAGTCTCACAACTTGTGTAGGTTGGACCCAATTTTGATAAGAAGAATTCGCATGTCATTTCGGAGGACATCGATGTCATGTCGGAGATGGTTGATGTCGCTTCGGAGGCGGTCGTTGACACATCGAAGATCTTGCAGATCCTTCCTTACTTCTGATTGCACGTCAACCATGTCTCCTTTGATGTTTGACTGAAGATCTATCAGGCCGACTTTCGTTTCGAGGCGCGCCATGTCCATATAGTCGTGAAGACTGGACATATACTGGGCAGATAGGCTGACGGAGGTAGAAAGGGTATCCGTTGTATTAGGATAGAGCTAACCTATAGATATGTTAGTAGCCTCTCCAGTCATAGTAAAGTGATATACCTTACGCGTCATTGTCTGGAACGTACGGGCTTGTGATGTATGGAATTGAGTGGCATTCTTTGTCGCAGTTATAGCTCGTTGGAAAACGCTGGATGACAGTCGTGACAAGGCTTGACGCAACATTTTTCATGATGATGTTCGACGAGGATTTGAGGGCGTTGGGGGATAGAGTGTAAAGGTATGGGCGAAGGTGAGGTAAAGCTGAAGTTCAGGTGTAGGAGAATTCAAACATGAGAGGATTAAAGGGTAACAGAGGATAAAAAAGGTGAGAGAGAATGAAAAGTTAGGAGAGGACGAAAGCATGATTAGAGAAGTAAAAGGCGGGAAATAACGCGTGTTGAGTACAAGGCTGGAGCTTTGGTTGGCTGTGTGGCACGGCAAGAAACCCTCGACGCCTTTGAGCAAAATATTCTGCAAGGCTGGCCCGTGGTTGACATCAAATAAGACTTTGATACCATTGTTCCTGAAGACATCAGCAGAACCTTGACAGTTCCTTTATCCTGCATCCAATCAAACTCCAAACCCTCCTACCATGTTCCTCTTTAGGAAATGGGGGCACACTTGAGGAACAACATCTCCAACCGTTCTTGAGCCCAGATCGTTCATGGCCTGACAAAAGTCGTCTCGATGTGTTGATCTTTCCTTGGACCACGAACTTCATGCAGGGTGGTCCAGGAGAAGAGAGAAAAGGGCGAATCAGCGTCAGGACGCCTGAGTGTGAATGAGTAAGAACTGTTGTAAAAGTCTTCCACGCAGAGGTGGCCTCCTGTACCGTCAAGGACTAGTCTCAGCTCTGACTGTGAAGCTTGATTTTCGTCGAACATCAGGTCTATCTTGTGAAAGAGGTAGTCAATGCTCTCAGTCCCGGGCTTGGTAAACCATATGCTGATTGTGTAGACGTCTTCGGCTCTCGACAGACGCCAAATGTATTTCCTGGAGAAGGTGAAGGTGGGAACGCTGGCCAAGTGGTTGCCGACAGCCTTCATCATCTCAAAGTTACCCTGCTCATGATACAAGAGTTCTGCATCGGGGATGTTGAGTTTTCCGTCTGCATCGAGCACAGGTGAAGGAGAAGGCGTCTTTGTGAATGTTGCTGTGCCTGAGCATGTCCCTGACGGTTCTGATGGGTCGGCGCTTTGTAACTTACGGTTGAGGAGCCATGTGCCGGAGAGGTCTTGGAAGAGACGGCGAAGAAGATTCGAGGCGGACGGGATGGAGTTGGACATGGTAGGTAGGCAACGGCGTGGACGGAACGCGGAAATGAAGCGTGAGAACTTGTGTAGCATCAGACCGAGTGCCTCGTCTGTAGGTAGGTACCTCGTACAAGGCATACAGTTTGAGTACAGACGCTAATATCTCTGGTGGTAGTGAGTAGCCGAGGCGGCAATGCCCATCCCACCCAAAGGAGCCAAGCCTACATATGTAGTGCCTAGCTCTCCCCCCTAAGAGACCTAGATGGCCTATCTTGCGTGCCTCTACGGAACCCCGGTGACCCCTGTGCCTCCCCAAGCATTGATTTGACAGCGGTTAACTGCCGAGCTGAAAGCGAACCCCCTTTCCACCAACCATCTCTCCCGTGCACCTTTTTGCTCCGCGCGAACCTGTCACCCTTTTGTTTATGCATATTTCCTCAAGCTTGTCCTTGCTTTCTACCGGCTCGCTCGCTCATTTGCCTTTCTGGAACCGGAAGTGCCAATTGAAAAATGCCTATCAAATCCCCGTCTACAATCCTAGCATGTCTTTTAGGTTTCTACTCCTCCTCCCTTTCCATTCGCCTTGTTTCTGCTCTCTGCCATTGCCCACCTCCGAGTTAGCAGCATCTTCACTCGTTTGAACTGGCTGGTAGATGCGGCGACTCACCATGTCCGCCGTTTACTCTCCCTAGCCTTGATCACGGTCCTCCATACTTTCAACAGTCCGACCCATGTTCGATCCCTTCGATTACAATCAATCCTCTCGCGCCTGAGCCTTTCTACCACGACCCTGTGAACTCGTCCGAAGCGTACGCGACACAGGTCAATTATGGCCAAAATGCGCTCCTCATCATCCTCATCCATAACCCTCCTGAAATCCCCCTCTGTCCTACTCGGCCTCCTGCATCTTGTGTCGGCTCAGAGCATTGTTCCGACATCATCAACCTCCCAATTCCCTAGCTGCGCTGTCAATTGTGCAGTCCTACTCCAGGCGCAGACTGCTTGTGTGCCCCCTTCTGTCCCCGCCACAAATCAGATCACATACGAGAATTGCTTCTGTCAAAGCAGCTTCCTACAAGCGTTGTACAGCACCCCAGACTCCATCTGCACCGCCGAGTGCACGAGCGAGTCCGACAGGGCACTGCTGCAAACATGGTTCACAACCTTTTGTCAACAGGTTGGTAGCGGTATCGACCCGTTAGAGTCCACAACTTCCGCCCTCCAGCCGGGGTCTACAACTGTCGTGACCATTACAAGCTATTCTACACCTCCTTCGACAGCTACAAACACAGGGACGGGAAGCGCATCTGCGTCTGCTACTTCGCACCAGTCCTGGTAGGTCCATTCTTGGGGTTCAATCGTTGCGGTGTTGACAAAATTGCAGGATCGATGGTCATTGGCAGTGGATCCTGATGCTCGGAGTTCTCATTGTGGGTTTCGCGCTTCTCACTTGGCTTGCAATTTGGTTCAGACGGCGACAACGTAGAAAGATTGAGGAACGGAGAGTGGCGGCTTCGGGATTTCCACCAGTCGACGACCGCAAAGGAGGAGCTCGTGCGGCAACTCCAGATATTTGGGGTCCGCATCAGGTAGGTCATAAGCGGTAAACATCTGATGCAGTGATGTCGCTGACCTGTTGGCGAAGCATATGCATTTCACAAACGGTTGGGAATACCATAATGATCCAGCCATCATGGGCGGCGCTTCTTCCAACAAGCATGACCGTATATCCAACAGAATCTCCTCTCAACAGAAACACCGGGGCCCCCCTGAAATGACCGAAATGAGTGGCGGGAGACCACCCTCAACACGGCAGCACTCGGCATCCAAAGGCAAAGACAGGGTAACTGATGAAATCATACCAGTTGAACCCGAGTCAGGGAATGCGGACAGAAGCCGCAGCAGAAGCGCAAGGCGGAGGGATCCGGACAGTGATACGGAAAGACATCAACTCGACTCGGACCACCAAAGACGGCTTCGCGAGGTCAGGGGATCACGACGAAAGAAAGACAACCATACATAAGATTATGGTGAAATAGAATGTGCTGGTAACATTGACGAGGTATGAGGCGTACATTCCGTTATATGATACATTCTGGCAGACGTATGTGCTGCAATGACGGCAACCTGATGCTCGAGCAGAAGTATTGGAGGTCTGTCGATTTGGATATTGTTGTGGTATGAACATTTGGGTATGGAATGACGAAGGATTTGTAGAATGAAGACTGTACTTCCTACATATACCTTAAAAAGATGACAATTGGAAACTAATGGGGCACTTGTAGCGGCTGACGCCCCGGAAAAGGTCAGAAGGGCAATGACTTGCGAGTGTTTTCGAGTACGGGTCACCGAGTACGAGGTACAGGAATCCGTCCTCCGCATAGCTCCCAATCTGGTCAATACGAGCACCGCCTCCACAAAAATACTCGATCCAGTTTAGTGCGGGCTCTGAACCCGCCAAATACTTTGAGCACTTGTAGATCCTGCAACCCATTTGCTTTGTCTGAATTCCTCTTGTCTGAATTTTGATTTTTGATCCTGGAACTAGCACGACTAGTCACGGGGCAATATGTGGTGTTGTTTCCTTTCCAGACTCGACTGCACCAAAACATCAATTTCCTGTTTGGCGCCGTTTGAACTCTACCCGGCCTTGGCCCAGAGCTTCTCTCGGCTTCAGCCTCAGTCCGCTCACTGATCAGACATCTCTGGCTCCGAAGGTTTGGTGCAGCGTCCTAGAAGTGGCAGGCGAGTGACTGCACTATCACTTGTAAGCACCTTACTTGACTTGGTCTTCAAAAGTACCACTGAAAGAAGAAGAAGAAGAAGAAGTCCTGGTCGGCGAGCGTTGCTGGGTTCGTGGTTGGCACTATAAAAAAGAGCACATCGCCACGACAACAGATGTCAATCACCGCCTGGGAATTCTGTTTCGAAGCCTGGGACACTGTCTTGGATCTCAATGTTTCTGCAATTCGAAATCTGCGTCGAATCAGGACACCAATGGCTTGCTCTGTATGCGCAGCAACGCAGCGACTACTGCTACAGAGCATTGTCTGAAAGAGACCGATGTGAGTGAAGGAAATGCAGTATTCGTGGCTAACACACGGTTGCTACCGAAGATCCCAGAGCACGTACCTTTACCATGAATGGACAGCTGTAACTTTCCCTTCGTACCACAGCACGTCTAGGACTGCCGATCTCAGCCACTGTTTACAACAAGAATCCTCTGGTAAGTTACCCCCTCCGGCGTCCTCTCGCACGAACAGGCCATATATATATTTCTAGATGGGACTTCGGATCAGAGATTAGTGGTACGGGGACCTGACTCTCTCTTGCCTTGCAAAGTTTCATCTATACTGTTCTTGACCCAAAAAAATGGCGTTGGCTTTGGCGGTTCTACCCTTGCTTCTTCCCGCACTGGCGTTTGATATTGCAAGGCCGGATTGCACCACCAGTACCACGAGCTTGACTAGCCTGGATGGCGGCATCGGAGCAACTTCAAGCTCATTGACCACGACGATGACGACTTCCACAATCACTTCCATGAGCACGACCTTGACACCTACTTCCACGACCTCGTCTACCAGCACCACCAGTTCAGCCACAGTATCACCAACGAGCGACTGCATGGCCTCGGCAATATACCAATCCGGCGAGTACTGCGGCTGCTCTTACTTCATGGAGTGCGGGTTCCACCCGACCTACTCGGAGGGCACCATCTTGGTCGGCATCTATGGGCTAGACGGCGTCACCCAGAACCACGCCGAGTACTGCGCCGACCAGTGCGACGTCGACTACCTGTGCCTGAGCGTTCTCATCGACATCGAAGGGCAGAGATGCTATCTGTACAACGAGCTGCCCGAGGACGGAACCGCTGATGTCAACTATGATACGGTTCAGAGAGCGAACCTCGGGCCTGATTCCTGCGTCAATGACTCCATCGGCGTCTGTCTAGCCAACGAGCCCCTTGGCCGTGGTCGGAGACGATAGAGGGTTGTTCGGTTGAGTGACTGAAGAGGACGGGAAATGAGTTTCCGTTCTTTCTAGAGGGATATGCTAAACGACTTGTTCGGGTTGGAGCATTCTTGGAGTGGAAATACCGTTATGGTTGGTTCGCGGTGTTTGGAGGACTCATGGCTGTGTTTTCTCATGTCGGCTCCTCTTCCCTCTCAGAGGGTCTAATGTGTAACTATACAAACAAGAGCTACATAATCCTCTTGTATCGAGTGTATCTTGAAGACGATTATCGCCCGCAACAAAAACTGATCGGCAGTAAAAATATGGATGAGAGGTGTGTCCAACCATGTCAAAGGCTACGGCAACTTCCAATTTCGATGCACTTCAGATAATACCTGCGAACGATCGCCGTTAATGGAGCGGCATTTCGCGGTCGAGCCGATCCGGAGGACATCAGGCACAAGTGGCACTGCATGGGTTTGTCGGCTGACATAGGGTGGGGAGATTAGAGGTCGCAGCAAGGGTGAGCAGAGCGCTGCTGTGGACACAGCACAGGTAGCATTGTATTCGGATGATGATGGTGATGATGAGAGAAATATAATGCTTTGGAGTGAGAGACTCAGCACTTGAAATTGACTGCGTTTGTTAGTGTCTTGGCCTCCGCAGCTGCGCCCTGATGCCTTTTCTTCACTCAACCTCATACTCCCTTTGCTACTCTTTGCTACCGTCAATTAATTCATCTCTCTCGCATTCGTCCACTCTTCGCTCAAAGTTGTGGGACATCTCGGCAGTGCGAGGCTTCAGGCAGTCTTCCACTTTGTGCCGGAGTTTCCGGAGGAGTCGCTGGTGTCTTATCATGCGATGGTTTGCCCTCTCTGGGATCAAGTTGCCCCTCCCACAATGCAACCTAGACGAAGCTCTAACCTGCCTGTCGGGGAATAGATCATCTCCTCACATTGCACAACCTTGTCGAGCTCCTGGTCAAACCAATCGGAAAACCTGAGATGTCTGATATTGGTCGTTATACTTCGTCCAAGCTCCTTCGAGTTCCTGGCGAGCCTGTAAGCTCCTGCACACTCCCGCAGAGCTATCTTTTTGTTGCATGGGTGGACTTGACGTAACCTGTCGCCATCTGCAGCACGACATTGGTCATGCAAACCTCGATGAGCTCTTATTTGAGCCGCGTGGTCGGACGGTTGAATGCTCAAGCTCATCTCTTGAAAGCTTGTCTACTCTGATCAGTTCTTGTTTCTTCACCCGGAGTGTGTGATTTCCTTTCACGATGAGGTCCCTCACAACCATCCTCGCGGCTTTCGTAGCTACTATAGGCCTCGCTGCAGCACAAGTCGGCCCTCTCGACGAAGACGGAAGACCAACAACCTACACCGCATACACCTTCGACCAGCTTATTGACCATTTTCAAACCAGCCCTCGATATGCGCCAAACACAAATGCCACCTTCAAGCAGAGGTATTATTTTGACGACACTTACTACAAGCCAGGAGGTCCCGTATTTCTCTATATCAGTGGCGAAACAAGCGGACCATCGCGCTTTTCAAATCTTCAGACTGGGATCATCCAGATTCTGATGAATGCAACTGGCGGATTGGGTGTCATTCTTGAGAATAGATACTATGGCCAAAGCTATCCATTTCCGAATTCGACAACTGACAACCTGCGATTTCTCACCACTGAGCAGACTATTGCCGACAATGCCTACTTTGCTCAACATGCTACCTTTCCCAACATTACGGGAGGTAACAATTTGACAGCCCCTGGCCACCCGTGGATCTTGTACGGGGGCAGTCTTGCCGGTGCTCAGACGGCTTTTTCACTGGTTCAGTACCAAGGATTGCTATGGGGTGGTATCGCTGCTTCGGGTGTCGTTCACGCCGTCCTTGGCTACCCCGAATGGTATAATCCGATACAAGAGAACGGGCCCCCCGACTGTATCTCCCGAATCAACAACATCATTGACAAGATAGACTTCCTGATCGAGCAGAATAACACGGAGGCGATCCAGCAACTGAAGGACATCTTTGGACTCGGATCTTTGAGTGATCTCAGGGATTTCGCAATGACCGTAAGTAAGACCTTTCACATTGATCAGAATTTGCTGTCTGAACCATCAGATTGCCTTTCCCCTGGGCGGGCCAATGAATTACCCCACCAACACCTGGCAAGAGCTCAACTGGTACCCGGCCTATGATAGTCCAGATTTCTTCCAGTTTTGCAACAACATCACCGACATGGATGCCCCAGCAAATATCGCCTCGGTTGATATGCAGTTGGCGAACTACACGAATGGCTCAGCCTGGACTGGTCTAGGGGCCTATGCGAATTATGTCAAAGAAGTAATTGTTTCGACCTGTGACAGCCCAGATCTGATTGATACGACGGAATGCTTCTCCACACAAAATGGTAAGTTCGCAGACTGAGGTCTTTGAAATGTGTATTGACCACTCAAAGAAACATTCTACGCCGATCCCACCAATTCGGCCAGTCGATCCTATCTCTACAGCACGTGCATAGAACAAGGGGCATATCAACTTCCGCAGCCACATGGAAAGCCCTCCCTTCTCTCTCGCGTTATCGGGCTCGACTACACCCAGCAATGGTGCACATGGGCTTTCCCGGCAGGCCCACTCTCGCCCCAAGCTGTACCTTCTCCGGACGGGCCAAACCTGACATGGTACAACAACTACGGCGACTTCAATATTTCAGCGCCCAGATTGGCACTGATTGATGGTGGAAGCGATGTGTGGCGGGATGTATGCTACCATGGCCGCAACGCCAGTACGCGGTATGGACCCAATCAGATGCTCATTACCGGAGGCGGCCACCACTGGGACAGCTCGGGAATATTGAATATCAGTGCAGAACCAGACTTCATTAAAGCTGCGCATGAGTGGGAGATACGTCAAGTCGTGGGATGGTTGGATGAATGGGATTTGACGCATGACAAAAAAGTCAGAAAGAGGGATGAGCTGTAAAGAAATCACTGGCGAAGACTGTCCGGCGTCGCTGTCCAAATGAGAAGATCCCAGGTCCACAACTGTCCTAGCATGACCATACGTAGCTATGT